GCAGTTGGGGTGTAAAAAGGATCCAGCCAGCGAATGTTGATGGCTGCCATGTACTGCCCGGCATTCTGAAGTGAGTCCAAGCATTCCTTTTCGTTATAGGGTCGCATGATGCCACCTTCCGCTGCTGATGTTGGAGGCAACAAGCGGGCTGTGTCTTCAAAATCTGCATGTTGGAACACCTTCTCCATGTGCTCCCTGTGTTGCAGCCAAATGTGTGCATTCACCCCGCCTGCCGAACATAACAAGATGCATGCTGCCATGGAAGCACACGCTCCAAAAAGCAAAGCAAGCCAAACCCAACCCCTCATGTGTTGCAGGCCTGCTGGTGCAGAAATGCCCTCTGGGAGCGGCGCAGCGATGGAAGCACGGGCTTTTGGATTGGCCTTGCCCTTCGCCTTGGCCTTTGGCGGGGGCTCAGGCCCCTCCACACGAGCGCGCTTGCCCATAGCTTTTCAGTTGGAAAGCTGTGAGGCAAAAAACGCTACACTGTCATCTGTGACAAGCTGGCGGTTTGAGTAAGTCAAGCCATCTCCTGAATAATATGCACGCATCGCGCTTTTTCTGCCCCAAGGTCATCGCAGCTAATAAACTGCCAAAAACGAATTAATTGCACTGACTGGCGCTAATGCGCATCACCCTGCTGATACATCGCAACCTCTTTGCCAATGACAAGCCCACTCCTGCTCATGCTATCACAGTGCAACTTACTCGTTGGGCACCTCTTGTGTTGTCAAACCAACATGTTTAGAACTGGCACCAGGACAGGGCCCAGTCTAAGTCTAAACAGCTCGAAAAAGGGAAGGCTTTAAATTTTGCATTGGCCTCATTTATGTGGGGGGAAGGAAGTGCACAAAACGAAGCCCTCACAAAACCGCGCAGAGGCAAGGTGGGGCATGAAACAAAATTGTTACAATATCGCGCGGATTGCGTGTGTGTGTGTGTGGCTGTCTGGTAGCGAAGGCCTGCAAGTTCACGCGCCCTGTCGGGGAAATTGCGCGCTGCCATATTTAAAAGGGTGGCGCAAATTTTGCCAGAATACCTGTGGAGGGATTTTGTTGCCTGCCGGGAGATGTTGTTACCAACGTACTTGTGGGGGATTTTGCTACCAAATACCTGTGGGGGGATTTTGTTACCGAAGAACCCTGTGAGGGGAGGGGATGCTGTTTACCAAAGTACCTGTGGGGGGAATTTGTCTGTGGAGACTTTGTTACCAAAATACCTGTGGGGGGATTTTGTTACCAAAGAACCTGTGGTGGGATTTTGTTACCAAAGTACCTGTGGGGGGATTTTGTTACCAAAGTACCTGTGGGGGGATTTTGTTACCAAAGTACCTGTGAAGGGCCACAAAAATCAAAAACGTTCCTGGCTGTTCAGATTTTCCGGGCCAAATTACGCCCATGGTGTACTGTCGGGCTCGACGTTTTGCTGCTGCGGGCAGCCACGGCGACTGCTGAGCTGCACCACATTTGCAAAAGCCAGAGGAAGAGGTTGCCTGCCTTGCCCGGCCCTGCACTCTGCTCAGCCCTGCGCAGGAAGTCTAAGGATTTTGTCCCAGCTGCTTCAGCCAGGCCATGGTCCTCCTTGCTGTGGAGCAGCACGAGCGCGTTGATCAAGTTGGCATGGATCGCCTTGATGTTGCGGCCAACGGACATGCCACGCGTGTCTCTGTGGTACAAAGCCTTGCAGCTCTTCCCCCAGTCAATGAACATTGCGCACGCAAATCGCTCTTCAGTAGAGATAGACCTCGCAAGGTTTGCCATGACCTGCGTGGATTGCATGATTTGCTCTTCCTTCTCTCCAATAGTCAGATCCACGTGAAAGCCACACAGGTCCCACATGATGGACCATTTGCCCATCGCGTTGGTGACGTTCTGGAAGGGCCCGCCAGGCTGTTTTTTGATTCTGCCTGCATCCAGTTGCAGACAGCAGTGAGCGCTTGCTCTCCGCTGGGGCCAGGGCCCGGCCTCATCAGCAACGCCGTGTCAGCATCGCTGAAGGGGCAGGTAATGCCGTGAGCCCGCGGGCCGAAAAGGAGCATCTTGAAGGGCCCAATGTTCGGGCAGCCAGTTTCCACCAGCGTCTGGATCACCAAGAGCAAGTCGCTCTTGGTGGCCTCAAATTCTTTGTTGTACGCCTCGAGCAAGTCGTGCATGGGCTGCCACGCAGCTGAATCCTGGTCCTGAGGGCCAGCTGCAACAGCCAGCCCTGGCGGCGGCGGTGGAGGCGGTGGAGGCGGTGGCGCAGCCGGAGCAGCAGCTTGCTTCGGCTGCAGCGTCTGGAATCCTTCACCCAGTCGCAGCCTGCAGTGAAGGCTGCTGCTTCGGCACAGGCGCAGGGCGTGAAGGCTCCGGCGGCAAAGGTCTTGAAGGCTGCGTGGGCTTGGGCTTGGGTGCAGCTGGACGCCGAGTGCCCAAGGATTCGTCGTCGTCCTCCTGCTCCTGAGCCACTGTTTTGAAAGTCATGTTTTATCAACAATGACAAGCCAATGACATGGTTTATCAACAAACTTTCAGCCAAATGCCCCTGTCCCCGGTCTTCTGACTCAGATCCCCAGTCTGGCACAAATGCAGTATCAGCAGGGTCAACACCTCCAGGGCCAGCAGCAGGACCAGGAGCTGCAGCAGCCTCGTCAGGCGAGGACTCCACCTCTTCAGCTGCTGCATTGCGACCGTCAGAAGTGCGCTGGCGCGTCTTGCGGGCGTTCAAGTCCACATCCAGCAGATTCTGCTCTAGGATCGCGATGTCCTCGTCTGCGTCGGATTCCTCGTCGTGGTCGTGCTTGTCTCTGCGGATGATTTTGTGCGACTGCATAACACGGTCCAACCCATACTTGTACACATACCTCGAGTAGGGCGTGATGCTCAACTTCTGCAGGTAATACATCCATATTACGGTTTGCCTTACCTGTTCCACCTCCGTTTGCTCTAAGGATGGAACTGAGCTGCTTTCGGCGAAGCCCTTGGTTTCCCGTGCGTGGACATAGCTTGCCCATGATAGGTTCGTCTGCGCCCAAGACACCACATCAAAGCTTTCGCCGCTTTCCCTTGTTTCTCTCGCCTGCTGCCACATCAAGCGCAAGCAGCGCCTCTCATAGTTTTGAACTTGTTTTGCGCGGTTGGTCTTCCGCTTGTTTTTGGGCGGGCGAATGCGGACAGCTGCTTGCCATCCGCCTGTCATCCAGCCAGCTTTGGTGCTGGTTCTGCTGGCCTCTGTCATCATTAGCCCAGCTTTGGCCCCAGTCTTGGCCCAGCTTTGTTGGCCCCAGTGTTGGCTCCAGTCTTGGCTCCTCTGGCTCCAGCCTTGGCTCCAGCTGTCTTGGCGCCAGCTCTGCCAGTCTGAGTGTTTCCATGACATGGCGGCGACCCAGCTTGAGTCGCAAAAAGACTGGAAGCAAGTGATTGTGCACAACTGACAACTCATGTCACGCGTGACATGCCACCCAAGCTAATGCAAGAGCAATGGGGCACAACAGCTGCTGCAAAGCCACCACCTCCACCACCACAACCACCAACAACAACGACAACGACAACGACAACGACAAAGACAACCACGACAGCAAACACGACGGCAGCAACCAGTCCTCCTTCACTGCGCATGTCTTCTTCTTCTTGTCCGCCATTCCGGCCAACTGGGCTGCGGGGCCCCGCGTGGCACCGCTTCATGCGTCGACATGGGCAACGCAATGTGCCAAACCTTTACAACTCACAAACAACAACTGAAACACTGTCACAGCAAAATGGCGCCACAAAGGCTCCAAAACTACATGCAGAAACGCCGGCAGTCCGCCTACCAGCCTGGTAGGCGGACTGGGGCGATGGAAAGGCGGACTGGGAAACCCAAAAGGAGGACTCCCAGGCACCAAAGGTGGACTGGGAAACCCAAAAAAAGGACTCCCATCCCAGCCGCTTTCCCGCCCAACCAGTCCATCATGGCTCATGTCGGTGCATGTTTCCCCCTCACGCAACCTCATTGCAGACATCACTCAACGCGGTTCGTGACACCAGAAACAACAAGCGTCAGAAGTACGAGTTGTCACTGTTTTCCATGACATGGACAATGACTAAAACAACCAGCAAAAATCTGGATCTCCACTGCTTCTCTTCCATTTGTCGTATGACAACATCAAAAGTACAGAATTGTCTCCGCTGTTTCTTTTCCCTTTGTGGAATAGCAGGCCCGTAGCGCTTCCCTTCCTGCCTGCAGCTATTTTGCTTGCGCAGCTTACTTAGCTTATACAGTGGCTTCTGTAGTTCCTGCCCTGCATGTCGCACAGCGGTGAAGTTACTGAGCATCACTTGACCAAGCGGCTTCGCATGATCGAAGGAACAAGGAAGACGGAGGATTACATCTACTACAAGTTGCGCAAGACGGATGACATGCAGGACACTCCAAAGCCTGAAGCAGGCAACAAGGCAAACTGGGAAAGACGCGCGTTCGCTTGGAAAAGTGCTATGAGAGAGGTTTCCTTATTACGTTGAGCTGGCTGAAGCAGCTGGCGCTGGCTAGACGAGGGGGCATGTGCTTTGAACATATGCCCAACCCGCTGCGATCATGCAGTCATGCGTTCTTAGGTTTAGCTCTAGGTGTTTGTCAGTCGTTCGCGCACTAGGCGTGGAAAAAGGCGCGACCTGATGATAAATTATAATGACATGATAAATGTAATCTTATAACTGTTATATGATATGATACAGTGTTCTGTGATGTTACATGAAACAAAATGATGTGATATGTTGTAATAATACGATACGATGTGGTATGAAATGATGCGACATGTTTGGAGACATGTTTGGACATGGTGTGGAGTGGTGGTATGAAATGGTAGTATGATCTGATGACATATTATCATGTGACATGGTTAAGCTTTATGATAAGGCAAAGTAAGATATCGTGGTATCATTGGATAGACAACCAGAAAAAGGAGCAACCCGAGAAGCCCAGCAAGCCAGAAACCTGGCAACCAGCCAACCACACCCCAGATGTCTGACACAGTCGCCCCAGTCCTGTCTGCTGGAGGATATCAGGAATGCCGTCGTTGTCAAGGTCCGCTCCCTTGACATAGACATCGGGCATTCCGTTGCCTGAGCATCTTCGGACAAGTGGCAACCGCTACGGTGGTTCCCTTTATCATGATCACTTGTTCATTAGTCGGCCATGAAAGGGTAGCCATTGGCATGGCGACTTTAAAGGCAAAAGCCGAAATTGCTCCCTAAGTTTCTTCACAGGCACCAAACAATTCACCGGGGCGCATTCCAATGACATTCCGCCTTCCACATGATGGGTGGTTTCTGTTTGCATTCATGCAACAAGGCAAGAACGCAAACTACGATAGCTTTTACAAAAGAGTATTCCACACGCATCTGCATCACGCGTTTGCCTGACGCGTTGCCCAGTGTCATAATACATGTCACATCCTCACACTACAGTCCCAAACATGCCGCATGTAGCCCATCACAAAGGTAATCATCGGTCATCGGCCCTCCACCCCCACTACGAGTCTATCTGAAACGCTCCTTAAACAACCGCCGATTCGACGTCGGAGCGCCTGAAAGGTCTAAAGCCACGGTTGCCGCGCCTACGAAAGATCGAGACACGCCCAAAAACATGTGCCGGCCTCAGCAGATTTGTCCAACCGGGGGACTCATAGGCACACGTGTGTTTTGTACAAGTGAAGGTTCCGCGCCAAACTGGACCACCCCCTGCATCAACTAGACGGAAGAATCCTGGATCAAGATAGGACTGCAGCTGCGCGTTCACACGTCCTTTCTCCCCTGTTGCACGTGACTGGGCGTAAGCAGCGGGACACTGCCGCAAATGGGACAGCCAGGGCCGGCGCCAGAAGCTTAACCAAAGGCGCGGGCCGCTCACACCATGGCGTTTGCGACTGCTACTTTCAATGTCTCCCCCCCTGCAAAAGACTGTGACTGGGGTTGAGCGCTGGGCAGCCAGTGTGGGCAGCACCACGACTGGGTCACATTAACAACCTGGCTAGCCCAAAGTGCAAAAAACCGTGACTTGAGTGAACGCAAAGCTAGCGCGACCTCTTCTTCCAACGCACTTCAATGCGTCGCGTGTGCTGGAAGACACGGACACCCGCCCTAAAAGGCACAAGTCGGAGCAAGTGGTCGGAGAAACAGTTCTGCGCGCCCACGGATCATCACTTACCCTCGCCCCATCTGTTGGCTTGCGTGGGCGCGACGGCAGCCAAGCGTGGTTGCAGCAGCAAGCAGTGCCTGCGAGGGCAGCAACCTTGTCGATGCGCGCGTTCCCGGCCCCAGCCTGCGTTGCGCTTCCACGCCTCTGCCCAAACTGCACAGGCCTCATACAAGACGCGCGGCCAACTATACCAAAAACTCCTTCTAAAAAGAAGCCTGTGCAACCAATTTGTCTGCACCATTCCGGCACAAGGGGGTTGCAGTTGGCTTGCGTGGGCGGGTTGAAGGGTGGCCTCCAATGGTCGTCGCTTCCTGGCTTTGCCGAAAGATCAGACGCCAAGAAAGTCACCAAAGGGACTTCTCCGTAGGCATCAAGGGGGGGGAGCTTTAGCACAGGCGCCACACGCCCCGTCGGCTGTTGCCCACCGCAGAAGCGCAGGGCGCAAGGCCAATTTCGCGACTTCAACAGCTGGAAGCCGCGACGACAACAAGATTGCCCACACATACTGCGTCAAAAGCCGTGAACAACAAGGCACTGGCGTTGGCTTAAATTAGTGGAGAGGTCTTGCTGCAGTTGGCAGAGCGGTGCCAAGCCTGACCTTCCACGCACGCCTGGGCCATCTGCGACGGCAACGCCCGACAGCCACTTGGATGGGCGGCCTACTTGCTAGGAAAATTGGCGAACAGGCGATTTGCGAAGCCACTTGCAAGTTGCCTAACCTGAGTTAGTAAGTCCGCTAAGTCCGACGAAGCGGACTTACAACCTGGTCACCTGGACTTGGCCAGGTTGTAAGTCCGCTACGTCAGACTTCGCGGACTTCGTCCTCAAGTTAGGCAACTTGCAAGAGGCTTAGCAAGTCGCTTAGGTTCGCCGACTACATAGCAAGTAGGCTGCCCATCCAAGCAGCGGGGTGGATCATCATCCCACCACAACCGCCGAAGGCCTGCTTCCACCCTGGACGGATCATTGGAAATTTGGGAAAATCATTGGATGCGCTGCGCCACAAAGGCAGGGGGTGTTACTCGATATGTTGAGGTTTGGCCCTTACAGCAATGTAGGAATTCCTGTACACGATTTTTGACTGCGTGCGAATGCCGAAGCATGACATATCTGCTTGATGCATTCCGCAGCGGCTTAACCCAGAATTTGCTGCGCGCCAGAAATCAGATCCGCGCCTTGTCATACTGGCAGCTTGGAGCAGATCAGGATCTTTGAGACCTCTTTGCGCCACAAAGTGGTAGCAGAGCCCAAGTTGGCTTCCGAATCCCCGCGCTAGCGGACTGCGGCGGTTTTCGATTTGCAGAAGCAACTGGTATTATTCGCGAACTGTCAAGAACGACAAGATGTACAATGATGATGATGATGATGATGATGATGATGATGATGATGTCACAGTGCAGTCTGCAGCACTCCTCGCACTTTTACGCGAGGCCGGCGGGTTGGCTCAACCACTCAGGCGCCCCCGACTGATCCCTGGCTTGGTCGCATGGAACCCCTTAGGCCGGCTGGCGTGACCGCCGTAGCCCAAGGGGCACTCCCATGCTCCCCATGGAACTCCACTACGGCAAGCGAGCCTCTCACCATTTCAGGAAACCTGGGCTGGTTTTTCCTTGTACCTACTAGGTTGTGGTTCTGGGTTACTCCCTGGAACCACCGTTGTACTGGTTTTTATTTAACGCGGATTCGCGAGACCGAAATTCTTTTGAACACGGACTCACGCAAAACCTGGGGTATGTGAATACCCTTAATCCGGGACTGGGGCCGGCAGGAAGCAGACACAGCCAACAGGCTGTGTTTGCTGCCCTGCCCGCCCTGGTTTTTTTTTTGCCACGGTCTTCTCTTGTAGTTGGACATCCTGCATGTGGAGAGCCAGGAGGTCCGGTAGCAGGATCCAGGAGGGTGTGAAGCCATCCACCACCGAGATCCGGCGTTGCGACCCAGCGAAGTCCAGGTGAGTGAGTTGGTCCGCCCACACGTTGGAGCATCGTTTGACATGGTGGAGAGACGCGAAGACTGCCCGTTTCTGTTCCTGTGCCGAAAGTTCCATCAGGCAGAGCAGGGCCACTTCTTTGCAGACCGCTTCGATGCCGCATAGGCGTTGCCTTCATTGTCTGTGCGGAGATATGTACCTCCATGAGGTGGGCCACCCTGTCTGCTGCAAACATGAACAGGAGTAGAGATCCCAGGAGCTCCAGGGCGGCAATGCGTCGAGCTGGGCAAGTGTGTTCCAAAAAGGGGGCCAAGCAGGGAACGTCCGCCACATCGAAGGCAAAGCACCATACTTGCGACTTGTCCGGGTTCGGTGAGTCCCCAATTCTCCTGCGTCACTGCATCCATGGCATCCATTGGGTGGCGGAATGGAGGTACCGGCGTTCCTAAAAAAGAACAAGGCCAACTTGGCCAGGGACCAGTTCACCCGGCTTGCATTTCTCATCAGCTTTTGCTCCCATGCATAGAGCGGTTGTAGGTGAGACGATAGAGTAGGGAAGGCCTTGGCTACTCACTGAAAGGAGAAAGGTCACCTGCCACCTTCAAATGCAGTTGCAGCGTAGGTTTGCAGTCTTTCCAGCTTTTTATCTGGCAACCAGGCCACCCTTGTTGACGTCCACCCGGTACCCTAGCCACAAGTTCTGCGGTCCCAGGGCATTTTTATGCCAGGAGATCCCACCAAAGAAAGAAACAGGAGGAAGATGCCCGCCATTTTCAGGCCCGCCAGCTTGCGCAGAAGGAGCATGAAGTCGTCCACGAAGGCCATGACCCACAAGAACTCCGAAGGCCGCGACTCTGCTCCAGTAATACCGGGCAGATGCAACCCCATAGGTGCCGACCATGTTGACCCAGAATAGGTTCTTGATCGTCGCTATCATGTATTTCCAGTTGTTTCGACGGATTTTGATTCGTCTTGCGCACCCGACTTGAACAAGGTGAGGTCCTCCTCCAGGAGCTCGCCCACAGCAGATCGTGAAGTGTGGGGGAGGTGGTCTTCTTGGTGATGTGTGATCGGATATTGTCATTCACTCCGATGATGGTGGTGTCGAAGATTGTGCGGACCTTGTCTGCCTCCTGCATCACGGCCATGCCCCCACACAAAGGTCTTCCGGTCTACATTCGCAGACTTTGGCGGCCTCTTCCTTGGAGAAAGGGCCGAGTACCATGCCCATGTCCCGATCTTCTTTGAAGGTGCTCTCAATCTCATCCTCAAACTTCTCTGCGCTTGAGTAGTTCTTGGCGGTAGTAGGAACCAGATCTGAGGGTCTTCCAAGACTGGTGTGTCGACCCCCACATTGGCACTCCATCTGCCAGGTGGTCCAGGAAGGGGGCGTCGATAGGTGTCTGCCTAGTTGATGGGCGAGTTCCAACCGTACATGTTGTAACCATTCTGGAGGGAACTTCAGCGCTGGTAGCAGCCGGTTCCCCCTATCCCCTCGTTGGCGCGGTGGTACACGACCCAGTGACGGTTTGCCTCCCCCATCTGTAAAGTGGGTCTTGAGCGGTGTCTCAGGGTCACCACCAATCCGTCGCGATCTCCATGTTCATCTGCCATCCCCATCTTGTCAAGGCCTTGCTCGAGAACCATTGTGGGTGTTAGTGGAGTCCATTGAGTCTGGTCATCATCTCTGTGGGTTTATTGGATGGATGGCCCAGCATGCACTGGTCAAAAGCCTGTATCCACATCCTACACAACGAGCAGAAGTCTTTGCACTGCGATGCGGCCCACATGAGCTGCAGTTTTGGTGGGTGTCCGATGTTCCGTAGTTTGCTGGGTGTTCCATTAGGAAAGCTGGTGGCGGGTGTAAGGAGTCGTTGTCCACATCCTCCTGGTCAGTTTCAGGCCTGATGGCCCTTGCGTCTTCGAACCACTCCTGGCATTCCTTTCTTTGGCCTATGCCGAAGGATCGACAAATTTCTTCATTTTGCTCCCCCCAACAATCGCCAGAAGGTTGCCTTCCATTGCCATCTCCACGAGGGGTCCAAAGATCTCATCACGTAGGACATCATGATTGACCTTGTCCCTGCAGGTGTCTACTTCCAGGATGTACCCATCAAGATGCGGAGCCACATGGCGAATGGCTGCCCTGGTGCTGCTGTCGTCATCATCACCCACGTAAAGGATGAGCGCCGCCGGGAGACCTCCCCCTACCCCTTGGGGGTGGACCGGGCGGCTAGGTAGCGCATGTAAAATGTCTTGCCAGGTCAGGAGGGTCCGCCCTCCATGGGTTTGAACGGTGGCCTGTCCCTGTCCTGTCGGATCCACTCTGCAGAAGAGGTGGAGTAAAAGATGACTGTGTGCCGCCAGTCATCCATCCACCGTTTGCCGCCGGAGAAGATACAGTGCTAGAAGCAACCGTCTTCCCCCCGCTATCGGACGCAACTTGTTGAGATTTGGGACCGCCCCTCTCCCCCACACTCCCAGCTCCA